CATCAAGTTTCTTTTCCCATGTGGATCTGCTCATGGACGTCAATGCTAGGATCGCGACGACAAACTGAGTCTTGCAAGGATCTAATCCCATTTTCCTCACTTTGCACAGCACCATGTTAAATTTCTTTGGACTCATCAACAATGTTTTAGGGTGGCTACGAACTAGCATAACAATATTCTTGTCAGGCACTCCATTATCTCGCAAAATCTGGGAAATATATTTCACAGTTACAGGATTAAGTTGAAGAACAAGAGGACTACTTTTGAATACTTGAACAATGGTATCATTTGGGAACCAATTTTTCAAAAAATCAAAAGTAGGGACTAACTGGTTTTCTAAGCTGCATCTCAAAATCCAAGGGTAGAAGGATATGATTTTAGCAACATCAGCGGTTGAAACACCTTTAGAATACAAAAACTCAAGTTTGGGTAAAAGGGTTTTGTCTGGATTGTACAAAAGCAGTTCAGGGCATTTACTGGTAAGTTTTAAAGTTTGGTTCTCTGAGAAGCCATGGTCCTTGAAGAAGCCAAGTAAAGAATCGGGTTTCTGTGGGGTTTCATAACGGACACGTTTAGAAGCTTCTAATGCAGATTTTAGAGAAAACCCACATTTGTTAACGAGGTAAGAAACAGTAAATGAGTGTTGATTTGCATTTCCATTGCTTTTGCTTGATGAGATGTGTCTAAGAGATGATAATAACGAAGGGTTTTCGAGAAAATAGTGTTGTCTATGATTTGTTGAAGCTCTTACAGAACTCCCTAACATCTGCATGTGGATTCAAACAACGAAAATGAAGCTTGAGGAATACAAAGCCACTTACCTCTCTTTCAATTTTGATTTTACAGCTCTACCTCTACACGTTGAGGACATATCAGCAGAGAACGAGGCGACTCGGTGTCGATGGACATGTCAGACCCACAAACCAATCCTCTTCTGTTTCTCTTTTCTTTAAGATAAGGTGAAAATGTCACCAAAATGTTGAACTTTGAAGGATTCTTGGCCATAAAGTGAGGATTTTCCGTGAAAATTATAAGTAATCAACGTCACAGATATTGATGTCATTTGTCCTTCCATTTATTTGTCCTTCCATTTATTGATTTTGGAGATGGCGTTTCAAATCCGTTACTTTTGACTGATTTTTCTAAGAGATATTGTCTTCTATCCATTCTTGTATGCTGTTTTGAAAAATGATATTTGATATTTATAAATTATTAAAGAAGTAATACAAATCAAATACTGCTGTTAATGACTTTTAAATTAGATGAAATCGATTACTTAAAATAATATTGTGAAGCATGTCATTGGATGGTGGGTATGGTTTCTGGATTAAAGGGCTGTTTTGAAAGGGTTAAGAAATAATCATAAAAATATTATTAATAGGGTTTAGGAATTGTTATTTTCTATTATAATTACTAGAAAATTTAATAGTTTACAAGATTAAAAATATTAATTATATATGAAAAAAAAACACATTACTCTCAGTACATCATATTTATAATAAGTTACATTGTTATTTAATTTTTTTTAAACTCATGTTTTTATTTATTAATTTGTTTAAAGTTTGAAAAAAAAAAATTTTGATGAGAAAATTATTATCTTATTAGATTAAAACTAAATATCTTAAAATCCAAAAAAATTATGTAAAATACATATTATAAAAATTAAATGAACAACTTATTTTTCATAATATTTTTGAAGTTTTGATACTAAACTTATTGTGATACTCATTAACTAATTTTTCTTGAATTTGTCAAAAAATAATAAAAATATAAAAAAATTGCATATAATATGCATAAAAAGTTTTAGAACTTTTTTATATACACACAAATAAAAATATATTTTTTATTTTTTAAAATAAGTAATTTTTAAAAATCTTTTTTACTCTTCTAAATTCTAAAGAAAAAAATTTATATTTAATATTCAGTTACTATCTTACAGTATAAGTTTAAAGCTTAAATATTAAATAAAATTATTAGAAAAAAAAAATATAAAGGATCCACAAATAATTTTGTAATGGTCTCTAATTTTTTTAGGATTTTTGAAAATTATTTGAGGTATATTTGGCAAATACAAAAATTAAAAAAATAAACATTGCTAGAAAATCAATATAGTGTATTTGCAAAAATCTCTCTTAACTAAAAACTAAAAGTTTTAAAAAATATCTTAAGGTCGTGTTTGACAAACACACTTTAAGGACAAAACATTTTTGTTTTTTCTTTTGAAAATGTTAAATCAACCAAACATTATCTTATTGAAAATAATAGATAATATACTCAGATAACCCCCAACAAAATTAAAAGTCAATTTAAAAAAGTTGAATATCAAGTTTCAAATTCTGATCTAGAGATAATGTTGCATCTAAAAACTAATGGTATTGAAAAAAAAAAAAAGACTTGGATCCAAGAATAACATTGTACTTAAGAACCTGAAAATGTGAATAATATTGCAAACCAATTAATCTTCAAGAAGTCAGTGTGTGATCTTTATCTTTTTAAAAAAAATATTGTTTGCAACCCATAAAAAAAATATTATTTATTCAAATCATCCTTATCATAATTGCCAAAACTTGCAGCAATAAAAACAATACATATAGTCCCCTCTAAATAATCATAATACACCCCTTTTAAGTTGCAAGCCAATAAGTTCTATCTAGTAATCAACCAACACGTCTAATAATAAAACAAACCCTAAAACAATGTATAATAGGGCAAACTAAACTTACACGTGATTATAAGAACATTAAGAAATAATTGTATTAAATAAGTAAACTAATAGATGCTACACATATTTCTAAGTGCATTAAAAAATCCTTGTATTGATTGAAATTCATAATACATAAAAGAAATAATGTTTCTTCACTTTTCCCGCATTCCTAATAAAATTTTATTTGACTTCAAACATGTCGTTCTTTTTTATTCTGATAAATTAGCAAGCCCATCACATGTAACTAGAAAAGTACAAATATCTACTTTCCAATCTAATTGAAATATTAGCGGAATTCCTTTTGTAGATCTAAATATAATCAAAATAGTAGATAAAGGTCCAGATAGAAAAATTCAACAAGATTCGTTTAATAACTTTGATCCTTTGAAATAATCTTTTCCTAGACTCTAATTAACTACGTTTTTACTCAATATAGAATATGAAGTTTAAAAACTCTTATAAAAATTTAACTTGATTCAGCTTTCAAATTGAAAGTCATATTTATTAGCATGAAAAAAAAACAATAATTTTTTTTATGTCAAAATTCAAATTTAACCTTATTTAGATTGTATCAATCAAACCTTGTAGGATTTTCAATGTTGTTCCTGTTAGGTTTTATGAATAACATACATGCATTAGAGACAATAAAAACAAATTATTTAGGAATCCTTAGGATCCTATTAAACAAATTTAGATTTGTTTAAGGATTTATTATTTGAAGATCTAATTTTCTTTGGTTTTGAATAATTATTTGAAAGTTAGGTTGTTAAAAGCCATCCAATTATCTAGTTTTCAATGGTAATTTACACGAACCACCAATGAAATATCTCTTAAATTCCTATTTAGAAGAAGAAGATTATTATATCTAGAATGCTAGCTATCTATTCTATATCTTATATAGTTTTTATGTATAACAAACAACTATTTCAAAAAAGATTTAATTTATTATTTATAGAAAAATTTTAAAAAAACCTTATAAATTGGTAAAATATCAATTTTTTCTTTAAATAATATTCATTTATTAATTCAGGATAATTTTAGAAATTAACTTAATTGAGTCCTTACTTGATTTTTGTAGGTTTATAAATATAATCCATGTATTAATTATATTTTAGTCCTTAATTTCTAAAATATATTTTAATCAAGTCATACTTAATTAAATCATTCTAATTTAATTTTTAACTAATAGTTTTTAATATGTATGAGCCATTATGATCCTTATATATTGATCCAAATATAAGTTCTAATTCTAATTAAGTAGACTTAAATAATTTAATTTATTATCAATTTAATAATTAATTAATTTATATTTAAAGATTAGATGAATAATCTAGCAATATGTTATGATTTTCTAAATATTAAAAAAATCATTAGTAGTTTAACTTAACTTTTTATTAACTAGTTTCTTAATGTAATTAATATCCTTTTATCAATTTCTATTTAACATTAAAGTATGAAGTATGTCTAACATGTTAAATCATGTTTATTTTCTATATAATAGTCATTGATTATTTGAATAAGATTTGAAACTCTTTTCAAATCTCGTCCCATCTTGACTAAAAAATTTATATAAAAAACATAATATGTATTAGTTTTTACGATTCTAATAAATATTCAATATTTAAAAGAGCATTGATCAAGAATATTTTAGAAATAATACTTTGATATAATAACAATTTTATAATTGTAACAACTTTATAATTTCATTTGCAAATTATTTTTGTTACATGAACTCTATCTTTACTCTAAATTTATAAATTAAATATTACATTTATTAATTTTTTTTGCTAAGTACTTTTTTTTGAATTTTTTTTATTTTAATCTCATATAAGGGTTGTGAGTTTGTTAAATAAGACTCAGTTGACTCAAATTTTTTTTTCTAGCATTATATTTTTTGATTTTATTTTTACTTTTGGCATTAAATTATTAGATCTTGATTCTTATATTTTTTTTTGCTTTTTTTTTTCCTGCATATTGTTTTGGTTTTATATTCTAAGTTAAGTTTTAGTAAATTTAACCTAATTTATTTTATATTATTTTTATTTAAATATTATTTTCTTGCATTGAAAAAATTTACAATTACCTATCTAATAAGAATTCAATTAAGATAATTATTTTTTTAACTAAAATAAAAAAATTTACACTGCTGCAATCCAATTAGAACAATGAATTTAGCTGCATTACTTTATCCACATGGCTCAGCATTTTTTTAATTATAATTATAATTATACTTATAATATAAATAATTATAATTATAATATGCTTTATTGATAGGGAGGGACCTAGACCGAGTCCATGTTCAAAATACTGAAGAAGAAATAAAGAAATAAATAAAAGAACGAAGTAACCCTCCCTTTCTGTACTCTAGACGGGCACTTCACATTCCAAGCAGCCATCACTGTAACTTTCGGCTACCTTGTCTTCTCCTCGTTTTGAGCCCAGGATTTTTAGAGAAATGGCTGCCAGTTTCATTTCTAAATGCTCTCGTGGTGCGTGTATCCTTGTTACTCTGTTAGGGTTTCCTTTCTTTCATTTCATTTATGCAAGTTTCTGTGGTGCGGTGTTGTGCACATTTTTTAAAGCTTGATTTTCTTGAGAGTTTTAATCTTTTCGTAGTTAAGGAGCTTGGATGTTCATTTTAGGAGAATATACAGTATTAGGATTCAACATGTCTTTGTAGGTTTTTTTTTTACTCTGGGGATTTTAGATTCAAATCCGCGCTCAACGCAAGCAACTATCTGAAGCTCAAAAGGCTTGGGTTGTGTGCATCTTAAGCTTGTTGATGAGACTATAAGTTGTCTGCTTGTTTTCAGTTGAATTAGGTATCCTTAGGAGACATTTAGCTTGGGTTTTAGGTTTCGATAATGAAGACCTTGAAGACCTTGAAGTCCTAAATTGATTCCTTTTCAACTTCTTCGTGCTGGTGGGATGTATTAGAAAAATGTACTTGATGTCCTAAATTTACCATGATACATAGAATGCTGCAGTTAGTGGAATTATGATGTAGCTTTATTTCACCTCGTGCAACATGGGGCACTTGGATTTGGGGGATCATAATAGTGATGCTTAAGGACTATTTGTGTTGGACAGCTTTGCCACATTTTAAGAACAATGAAAGTCTGCCATGTTCGATAACATCCCAAGGTTGTTATTCACTTGAGCTATAATAGCATGGAAAATTATTGGTTCATTTGGTATGGAGCAGTGATGGCTTGCTCCTTAAATTTTTGTTCCTTGCCAAGTAGCTATGAAAATAAATTATGCATGAGACAGTCAGCCAAATATGGATATTTTTTAGCTTTATTGAACATTTTTTTGTACTTGTTTAATTATTTTAACTTCTTGGTGATGCTGTGTCCTTGATTTCTTTTCATGAAAACGAAGAACTTAGTTTAGTTTGCATGATTAACTAACAAAATTTTATATATCCGCTTAATGTATTTTTTGTATGATGTACTGGAAAACGAAACTAGGGGACTGTTCATTGCTCAGGGGCCTTGGTACCAATGTTTCTAATTTACTGGGCACGGCCACTCAAATGACATGGAGCAATTTCTTATCTCAGGTCAGATTATTTCTCTGTGTACTTTGATTTAATCAAGTGCTCAATCTTGTATCATGGAAGTATCAGAAATTCTGAGGTGTATTTCCTATACACTTGAAAAATTTGCATTTAGATTTGCAAGAAACTGTCAAGTAAAATGGCTTTTTTTACTGGGTTCTGAAATCGTGAAGGAGTTCTGCTATTTTCTATGTGAATGGCTGCTGGGAAGAGACTTGTTCTCCTGAAAAAGCCATGTTTCCCTCCCTTCGATTCAAGAGATTTACAATTGTGCCTAGTTTTCCTTGAGAGTACTTAAAACAAGGGAGAAAGGTGTTTCTTGCATGTTGAGGGACGTAGATTATCTCAACCAATGCCTAAGATTATCAGTTATTGCTAGGATCAGTTAATTTTCTTCTCTGTTATCTTCCTCATGATCATGGTCTGACTGTCCTGCTACACTTTTACAGCATCAAAGAACTTTTATACAGATGAGGACTGTTCTCAAGGTTGTGGATAACTCAGGAGCAAAAAAGGTGATGTGCATACAACCTTTGAAGGGGAGGAAAGGGGCAAGGTTGGGGGACACCATCATTGCCTCTGTAAAGGAAGCTGCTCCAAATGGTAAAGTGAAGAAAGGCGCGGTTGTGCGAGGTGTAGTAGTGCGTGCTGCAATGCAGCGTGGCCGTTGTGATGGGAGTGAGGTCAAGTTCGATGATAATGCAGTAGTGATTATTGACAAGCAAGGCCAGCCAGTGGGGAGCAGGGTTTTTGGGCCAGTTCCACATGAGCTGAGGAAGAAAAAGCATGTCAAGATCCTTGCTCTGGCAGAGCATATTGCCTGAGGTATGGATTACTTTGGTTTCTATGTTCTAGACGTCTGGTAGAATTTTGCATTTAAGAAAAAAGGAAAATGGGTAGAGTTTTTAAAAGAGAACAAAATTGTTCTTTACTTTCTTGGAGAATATTATAGCATCCAATGCTGAGCAACTAGTTATCGCAGCAGAAGTCATTGTTTTGCCCCTGGATTTATATCGGTCCTGCTTTTATTTTGCATTAGGATCCTTCCTGTCCTAATTGAAGTGCTGGACACTGAGCACCGCAGCATGATTAAACTGTGGAATCATGGCTCTTTAGCAACTGAACTTGCCAAAAAGAAAGTGGCGAGTCTTTAACATCTTATTTTACTTACAAGAAACTAATGAATCATGACAAATTTTTATTCTTCCTGTCCATGAGAGGCTAGCTTCGCAAATCCTCAAATGGGTCACTAAGCAAACTGATTGTAACTTGAATCTCTACACACTCTCCGTCACTAGACACACACTTCATCAGAGCTAGAATTTGTGAACCTTGTGATCTTTCTAGGTCAATTTTAGGACATCTTTCTTAGATGCATACTGGTTCAAAATCTGTTTTCCATGCTTCAATGAAAATTCACCGCGCCCCCCCCCCCA